TATATATATATATATATATATATATATATATATATATGTAAAGAGAGTGTTAGATTCATACGAAAACAATAACCAAATAAAGAAAATAAGAAAACGGCGAATCACATATGATTATACACTAGAATCACATGTAATTCACACGACTTTGGCTGCGACCTGAGTTCACGGAATATGTTGCCTTACACCTTTGCATATTGACCGTTAGTGTGAAATTACATGTGATTTTACACGAGATTTAGCCATTTTTGTGTTCTTTTATTTAGTGATTATTTTCGATCGACATCGTGTGAGAATAGGAGTTGAAGCTAGAAGTATAAAAAGGGATATGAACTCCCCACCCCATGAATTGCGCTTATCATGGGAATCTATCCATTGCATCTTGGTGCACAGCATTAGCATTGATCTTTTTAACCTTACCCCCACCCCATGGATTGCGCTTATCACGGGAATCTATCCATTGCATCTTGGTGCACAGCATTAGCATTGATCTTCAATTATGATTGATACAAGAATAGAGATCCCTTCTCACCATAACTTTCAGAACCAAACCCTATATATAATTACATTTTTGAGACCGATAGAAATGACATCTTAATTGAAGTGAAAGAAAAAACCAATGATCATAGTGAAAGGAATATCCTGAAATAGCATTACCATTTTATACTTAATTTAGTGATCACTATCTAGCATCAACTTTCCATTTCAAATTGTTGCAAATCAGCTTTAAAACCATGTAAATAATAGCTTCTAAAGCAAAAGTATTATGACCTTATTTATCTTGAAATCGCCTTCTAATTAGCAACTCATAACTCAAGCTCCACCGCCTTATCTGCACCCTTCGACCTATACGGTACTATGTTAATCGTTGTTCGCAAATGTAGCAGTATCTCGTTATCAATATACTCGTATCTGCAATCAAGAAACCAAAGAGTTATGCTTATGACTTGATTTCCTAAAATACAAACCATGATTCTTGTTATGTTTTAAAACTCACATTCTCTTGCAGAGGACATCGGTGATATTAGAAAGCGTAATGATCTGCATTCTCGATTCCATAACTTTTCCCTCTGGATACTCATCAAACGGTTCTTCTAGAAACAGTGAAAGTTTCTCAATATGTCCCTCGAGCTGCTGCTGATGATCCTCAAACAAGTTCTGTTTGATATTCCGGTCTTCCTTTGTCATTTCTTCACTGAGAGAAGTGTCGTTAAACATATAATATGCAAACGGATACGAATATGATATGATGCGCCTTGATCTCAACAGCCTCTCGGCTCCATCTGTGACCCAATCGTAATTTTTGATTTCCAGTTCTCTCGCTTCCATATTTGATATCTTCTTTTGTAACTTCTCCTTGAGAGCAACTTCCGCCTTGAAAGAATCTGAATGAGCTTTGAAACGACCATGATAGTGAGTATAACGCACAATTTCTGATTCGGCACGTGCTATGTTCGCTATATCCTCTTCTTTGAACCGCCCACAAGTGTGACCTTCTATGCTTTCCCATGTATGTTGAAAGCCAGTTGCTCCACCACATAGCCAACTACAAAAATCGCAGAAACACACAAAACTGTCCATTTCAAGATGTTCCATGAAAAGTTGAGCATTTCCATTTTTGGGTAGCTTTAAAACACAATACCTGTTGACTCGCTAACCCTCCCCTGACCTACGGCTCTGAAACTTGGCTAACCAATCTACAGCACTCATGCTACCTTTCGACTCTACCCCCCCCCCTCCCTCCCAGGGAAAAAAACAGTCCCTGCCCCCAAAAGCCCACAATTCCTTGCACATAATCTGCTAACCTAATCTTGCAATTGGACAAACTCCTATCCGAGGTTACGTCTAAACCGGCCATGCCCGGTCAAAAAGCCATTAATGAAATCAAACATCTTCCGAACTCAAGAAACTGAGCACTAGAAATAAGATAGACCGAAAATTCAAGAGTTTCTTAAGGCTTGTTTGTTAGCAGTTTAATGAGCTTAATGAGACTCGCAGCTTATTCAGTCAGCTATACATTACAGTTTGGTAGTGGTTTAATATATAAAGTGGCTTATTTGGTAAGCTTCTAAGGGGGAGCTTTATGCAGAAAGCCAAATTTTTTCCAAAACTTCCCCTCCCAATTACAAAAAACACGTTCCTTCCATCTATGAAAAAGCCCTCCCAAACAAAAACCTTTCACAATCTATACAGATAGTTTTATTCATACATGACTTAATGGAATACCAACGAAACAGCCCCTTAGTACCATAAAATCAAGGAAAAGATTCTTACCAAAACGGTTGACCACATATACAGGAGACAAGGTTGCATCCTCCATTCTTTTCAACTGGCTTATGACATTTGGGACAATTCTTTGTATTGACTGTGATCCAGTTAACGGTCTCAGACTCATCCCTGCATTTCTGGGTCCATAGCTCCCACATTTGACAGGAACACGGAGAATGTGCTTCTGAAGAGCAGCTAAAACAGAACTGAACACCACAGGCACATTCAACCTCACAATACTCATCATACTCGATACGAATGGCATTTCCACAGTGTGGAACACTCGGGCACCATTTCACCCTTTTATTATCCTCGATATATGATTCTAAAAGGTAACGATCAAATTGCTCAGCCAGATCAGGGTCCGTTTTGCTTACATAATATCTGATTTTATCCTCATCACAAACTACATAGCATTTGTGGGCCATGCAACTTATACGCCTACTCTGACCCTCGTTTATCTTCACAACAAAGTGTTGCGTCCAGCCTGTAAGAAAGAAACGTTCATAAACCTGCTAATATTCTTGATCAAAGTTTCAACTAATCATAATGTTTTCAGTTTTCTTGTCTCCAAGATCTTTCCAAAATGGACTAAAACAAAAAAAATTGCTTACAGTTGTTGCAAAACCAATGGCCACAATCCATTGTGGTCATCTTAAAGACAGGGACTTCCTCCATACAGATTTCACAGAGTGCTAGAGAAGAGCGACGCGTTGAACTGAGATTGTCATCATACTGTACCATTACGCATGCTTCTGCATAAAGCCTATCTTTTCCCTTCTCCACTAACACTTCAAAGACTTCATCAACATCCCACCTATAATGTATAAGCAGAGTCCGTGCTTGATGTTCCTTTAACGATAGCAAGTCCATTACTCTTTGCATGTCTTGTCTCTATATAAGTAAATAATAGAAATTTAGGTGTTCATCAGGCATTATAAAATACCAAAAAATRCTATTCACCAGCATGGGTAGACATTTAAAATGTTATCAAGAACATGCCTCACCTGGGCAGCCAATAGACACTCTTTTGTGATAACCTACACGTCCACCAAAAAGAACGATTCAAATTTAAATTTATATTGGCAATCGAGAGATGGAGGAAGAATTCTGAACAAATAGATGTAAAAACAATGAAAACAGTAAAAGTTATATTGCTCATAGTTGAGTAGGCTCAAGATAATGATCAATCATGCTACAAATTCTAATAAATTTGATCCTGCAACCAAAAATCTATGACCATATCGATTTATCCCAACTCTTGATTCTTCTTCTTGATCATACCGTTGCCAGCTAGGTACCCTCTCTAAAGGTGCAACCTTTTCATGTCTGTTATATCAAACAAACCACATTCCATCAACTATTCCCTTCATTCCAAAACTAAAAATCATTTCCGAAAATCACRTTGAAGAACTAAGTTCTTGCATTAATCAGTGAATCATTTGACCAAAAGGTGAAAATGTGTCTCTAACATCAGAACAGAGTTAGCATCAAACTTCAAGTAATCCAAAAGCTTTGTACCCTTGCCTAAATCATACAAAAAATCCATATTCAACTCCATGGTGTCAAATGATCACTTTTTTCACAATGAAAATGATCAAACTTGTTTTAGATGAAGACTGATAACTGCATTAAGTTATTCATCATGTTTTTCCTTGCAAACATTATGGTGTTAAGCATCAAATATTATGAGAAGCATTAGATAGAACATCAAAATTCAAAAAGATTTTCTTGGATAGATGTAACTGTAATCAGAAAAACAGAGATAATCTATGGTAGACCCATTAAAAACACCTATGAATGATCTTGATTACTTACACAAACATATATATAATAAAGGATAGCAATCCTTTGCAAGATCACACAACCTTAAGAGGTAGAAACAACCCCTAAACCCTGCTTCTTAAGGTTTAAAAAAACAGGGTATTGGGAAAAAAACCATTGTGTAGAGAGATTCTTTCCAAGATCACACAAACTTAAGTGCAAACAAACCCTAAACTCTACTTCTTAGGGTTTTAAGAAAACAGGGTATTGGGAAAAAAAAACCAAAGCAAAAGAAGAAAACATTATTTTCCTTTTTGATTACCCTTTAATTAACTGAAACAATATTTGTTTAAGATTTTAACAACCTACATTAAACATTAATCGCTTAATTACCTTGCAAGACGAACCGTCGCTCTGAAAAGCAACCTCTGCACGACGATCAGGATCAGTATCATCATCAAAGTCAAAATCATCATCATAGTAATCGTCATCATCGTAATAATCGCTATTTTCAAAATCCATCTCTAGTTGTATGTAATATATATGATCAAGTTGATTTTCCTGCACAAAGGGAGAGAAGCAAGAATTTAGAGAGATAAATGGAAGTTGGAATATAGATTCTGGAGAAAAGAAGAGGCAATGCGTGACAGTAATACGAGTTGGAAAAAGATTTGGGGGAAATTGGTATGCAAGTGTGAATGGGTTTCGCACTTTTATAGGTTTAGATGAGTGTAGTCAGTGTGCTCACCCGATCAACTCAACCCAAACTAACTTGAAATAACTCACCTCAAGCAACTCGATATCTAATCAAGTTGTAAAATTGTCAAACCGTAGTTATTGGGTTGATATTGGGTTACTATTATTTGAACTCAACTTAACCCGATGAACCTGATAACCTTTTATTTCTTAGATTTAATATGATTGTTGAATTTCTATTAATATATACATTAGATAATTACATTATCATGTATGCTTTTCATATACACATATTTTCAATCTATTCATATCTTTATATAACTTATTCATATATATGTTCAGTAACGGTGAACATATATATGTAAATTGAGAAAATTAATTGAATGTGATATACATAAGAAATATGAATAAGTTGTATCAATGGTTGATGATGAAAAAGAAACTATGAGTAGAAAAATAACATATTTAATGTTAGGTTAATACTTTAATATACCAAAGTATCAACCCGACCAACCCGTACGGGTTGGATTGCACATTGGTTTGGGTTGGGTTAAGATTTTTCCAAATCGCAAACATAAATCGCAAACATTGGGTTGGGTTGTTCAAATGTGTTCAATCCGATCAACCCAACCCATGAACACCCCTAAGTGTAATGATGCGATCATATCTCCATTCTACAAGGGGACTTCAACTTTTACTTCATTTTTCAGAGTAACTTGCACTTTTGCTCCATATGGTTTCTTGTTTTTCTTGAATTAGGTACCTTTACAATTTTTATTGCAAGAAAACCCTAGTCATATATAAAAATCCATATTCGTTTTGTTTTCTACCATTAACATCTGTTAAGTTTCATCCGTTAACTCACCATATATGATTTGCACGTGAGGGTAAAATGGTCATTTTATCTTTTTTCCTTCGTCTTGGAACTTCTCCTTCCCATCAATTTCTTCCTTTGTTGAGACAACCACCACGTCTCCTCTCCTACCACCAACCATCTSTCACCTCTAGCTCACCATCGATCTATCCCTCCATGGTGAACGTCGGCAGTTACCACCATTCCGACCACCTTCCTTTCATCAACGACCATCTATTCTTGATTTTCTTATACCAAATATGTTTCTTAACTTYACCATTACCCCTCACCCTTCCACCATCATCAGAAACACAAAAAGATGCATATGCACAAATCAAGCACATCCAACATAGAACACAAAAGTAAATCRATGGCACTGAATTAGATGATTATTTGTATAGAAGGTCGCACTTGTGGGCGGTTCAAAGAASAGTATATAGCTAATATAGCATGTGCCAAATCAAATATCATGCGTTATAATCACTGTCCATTGTTATTTCAAAGCTCATTTAGATTCTTTCAAGGCGGAAATCACTCTCGAGAAGAAATTACWGAAGAAGATATTAAATATGGAAGCGAGATAATTATAAAATCAAGGATTACGATTGGGTCACAAATTGAGTCGAGAGGCTCTTCATGTCAAAGCGCATTATTTCATATTMTTATCTGTATGCATATTATATATTTAATGACACTTCTCTCAGTGAAGAAATGGCAAAGAAAGTACAACGAAATATCAAACATAARAGCATCTTCAACAGGTTCTCTATAATTTCTCTAAATAGATAACCGAAAGTTAAAATCTCTAAAAATAATAACACTCAACTCCAACAAATTCTCTATTTTAGATATTTTAACATAAATTATATTATTATAATATTCTCTAATTTGTCATCTCGATACATTTTAAAAAAATTATATGAAATAATAATCATAATTTAATCTYATTGGTGGAATTGAATAAAGTAATCATTTCTCTCYCTCTCAACATCAAGTTGTAAAGAAATATCTAAACTTGGAGTTTTTTCATGTTCTCTCTATTTTAGAGAACATTATAGAAAATCTGTTAGAGCAATATAGAGTACAAAACCTTCATTTTTTTCTATTTTAGAGAATCTATGGGAGATGCTCTAACTTGTTTGAGGACCATCAGCGATAGTTCGAGGGACATATCGAGAAACTTTCGCTTATTTGATGAGTAGGAAAAAGTTATGGAATCCAAAATGCAGATCATTACACTTTCTAAGATCACCGATGTCCTCTTGAATCAGAAGCTTGAAGCTTACTTTAGGTAGAAGTTCAAAATCGAAACCCTATCAGTGCTCTTTGATTTTTCAAAACCCAAAAAGCTTCAACGTGGCAGTATCTGGTGGGTTTTTTTGGGGTTGTGGATCACTGGAGAATGAAACCAGAGATGGGAAGGGAAGAAAGTGCTTAATTGGACCACCGTTCTCACCAACGATGGGTCTACGGAAGAGGGGKTACACAATCGCTATGCTTTACCACAAAGTGAACACATCGTAAACATAGTATAAACAACCTTAAGAAATTTCTTATTAGGATGTTCACACGRTGTTAAAAARTGGTAGGTTTATGTGTTTGTTTTGTTTTGTTGGTTTTCACAAGCTATACCGAACCTCATAAGTACAGAGTATATTCAGAAACTATAATAAGAAAGTGCTCATAATTTGTTCAGTTTTTGTATATATGTTTATGAGAGAGGAAAGAGATGAGAGAGGGGATTTTTACTTTTTTTTTTTAATTTTAAATATATTAAATTTTATTTTTAACCAATTCTTTATGATTTAAATTAAAACTTACAAATGTCACGAATAAAAAAGTCCCCATCCTATATTTTATGTGTCGTATAATATAATTTTATTATTTAATGTTTCGACTAAAATTCTTTTTTAAGTACCATTTCGGTTTAAATCCCTACAATTAGATTATTAAGGTTGTGTTTGGTACATGGGACGGATGACAGGACAGGACGATACAAAACTCAATGTCCCATGTTTGGCGCAACATTGGACAGAACAAGAACTTATTATCCCACGTTTGGCATGACATGAGATAGGGACAAGAACTGGGACAAGAACTGGGACAAGGTGGGACAGCATGAGACAAAAGAAGTTTTTTCTTGTTACACCAAAATAGGTGGAACAAGATGGGACAAAAATGAGATAGAAACTAAAATATTACTAATCTAACCTAGTTTGATATATAACATTGATATAATATTTGTTTTAATGGTCATCGCCACTAATTTCGGCCGTTGCGCTGCCACCATCGGCGGCCACCTCCACCTCCTCTTCCACTACGACAACATCTTCCACTRCCTCCACAACCACCATCCACCATCGTCCATTGCCACCTCTATTGTAGTCGACCACCAACGACCACCGTGCATTGTCACCACTACTACCACCATTCRCCACCTCCAACTCCTCATCTACTACAAGAACCTCCTTCACCACCTCCACAACCACTGACTACCACCATCTATTGCCACCTTTACAATCATCACCA